GAAGACTGAGAGGGGACCTGATCCAGGTCTATAAATATCTAAGGTGTGGGGGGCAGAATGGCGAGGCCAGACTGTTTTCAGTGGTGAGTGGAGACAGGACAAGGGGAAACGGCTGGAAACTGCAGCATAGGAAGTACTGCACAAATGTGCGCAAGAACTTCTTTACAGTGAGGTGACGGAGCACTGGAACAGGCTGCCCAGGGAGGTGGTGGAGTCTCCTTCTCTGGAGATGTTCAAGACCTGCCTGGATGCCTACCTGTGTGACCTGCTGTAGGGAACCTGCTTTGGCAGGGGGGTTGGACTCGATGATCTCTGGAGGTCCCTTCCAACCCCTACAGTTCTGTGATTCTGTGATTCTGTGATTCTGTGATTCTGTGATTCTGTGATTCTGTGATTCTGTGATTCTGTGATTCTGTGATTCTGTGATTCTGTGATTCTGTGATTCTGTGATTCTGTGATTCTGTGATTCTGTGATTCTGTGACTGAACCCTCTCTTGTCTCTGCCTATCAGGTATTTTCGTTGCGTATGTTTTGCTAGATACCATATAAGAACTTTATACATCATGGCTTTTATATCTTTCCTGTGATAAACAAATTTGATACTTGTGCATTATGTGATACTGTTTATCCCTTTATCAGTACATTGCCAGGTAACACCTCAAACTAATGTTCTGTAAGTGGGCTGTATTGGATGCTTCCCATGGCTTCGACTTGTTGGTTCATGTTTTTGGATTTAACTTTTCCAGGTTCTTAAAATAATCTTCAGAGACTCTGGGACTTTGTATTAAAAAAAAAAAAAAAAAAAATCCATGCTAATGAAGGGTATGTTTACTAGATAGTGTCCTGTTGTTGTGTTACATTTTTGTAGCTGTCCTTGTGTGCAGGAAGTCTTTTTAATGCTGAAGGCAGCTAGTTAAGGATGTTACATGCTTGGTTTTGAGATTTTGAAGAAAGTCTGAAGAGCTTAATAAGTGCGTAGATACAGCACGCTGATTGCAATAGGCTGTGGCTCAATAAGAGTTAGAAGTTCTCTGTTGCTATCTGTGATCTGAACTGGTGATGCTGGAAGAACCTGTTAACATGACATCTTTGTTCTAATGATACTTAACTGATGTCCAGTCATTTGTATGAGTTGATATGAATAGAGAAACAAAATGGTCTTTTAAAACCCTTTGCTACCATGAGGCTGTACTCTGAGTAGTATCTGTAGAAACAGTCAGCTTTGGAGATCTCTTGGCTCAAATTCTGATACTAAAATGCCTTTGCAATTCCCTTATTTTGAAGTATTATTACAGAATTTTACCATTATGCTTTCTGTACTCAATTAAAAAGATGAACTTGAAAAATCTTGCATTACTTCTTGTCTCCCAACAGTTAATAACAAATTACTGAATGTATTTCATATAGTTTTTTCAAGTCTTTCATTTAAATTACTGTGGCCATTACTTCATTGAACTTAGAACATTGAACATTGAACACTGAACATTGATTTATGGGAAAAGTGAAGGCTAGTTAAAGATATTAGCCTTACTGGAAAAATAAGTTATTGTGAATATCTTAATCTTCATTGTTGCAGGTGACTGTTCCTCAGTATAACTTGTGTGCGCATTTCAGGTTTTTAAAACACTTCTAGTTTTCTGTTTGACAGCATAGATATACTAATGATCACTTTTTCCTTTCTTTAACCAGGACAGAGCTTGGGTTATGGTTTTGTGAACTATGTTGACCCGAAGGATGCTGAAAAAGCTATCAACACCCTGAATGGATTGAGACTTCAAACTAAAACTATAAAAGTATGTATTGCTTTCTATGACTTTGAGAAACTAAATTGTTTTTGACTTCTTAACTTTCTTATTTATGACTTGTGTTCTTCCAAATGAAATTCAGGTGTTCTGCTGTTGGCAGTAAAATAGTGTAGGACTTCACCATGAAGTAGGTGATTTGTCCTTTGTAACCTAGTTAGATTTAAAGCTAGATTATAATTAAGTATAGAAAATCAAGAGTTGCAAGTTCTTAGCACTTGCACGTGAGTGTGATCTAAATGAGAAATCATACAAATGCTTTGTTTGCTTGAGTTACAGATGTGCAATATTTTATCTCGTCTAAAGGCTGCCCTGTGCACTTCTACCTACCTTCTCAAATAAGAGGATATAATTCAAGGCACTTGCAGCCTAAAAATACTCTCTTGCATGTCCTTAAAATGAAATGCTGAGATAACTGTTCTGGCTACAAAGATCGTGAGTTACTGGTCTTGCAAGGTTGTGCAAGGTAGTTAATGCTTATATGGTTATTTGTTTGGAATTCATGTTCTTGTTTTAGCTCCTGTCATGGATGGAGCTGTACACCTCTCTTCTAAAAGAAAAGCAGCAGTACGTTATTGTTATAAAAAATTTAACAAAACTTAATTGTAAGACAAACTTCACAAGATTTGAGATAAGTTACCCTACTTGTACAAGATTTATAGGACTAAACAGGCTTCTCAAGGAGACCCTCCCATTGAGTCACAAGGTTTAGAAAACTCTTGTTTTCTAAATTCCACCTTGATTTCAATATGTTTAAATCCACCCCTAGTTTCTAGCTTGGCAATGGCTTAGGTCTAAGGGATTACATGTACACAGTCAATCTAAGATAGAAGCTTATGTAGGATTTGGGGTCTTTGCTGTTACTCATTTACTGAGGATCTGTATCAACAGAGAGTCTCTTGATGTCAAGGTGTACGGTGTTACTGCAGTGCATGTGTCCTCAAGGCATCCCTACTTAGAGGGACATCCTGTTGTTCAGTCTGCTGTCATACAGGAGAGCTCGAAGGGCACCTGGGCTGTTTATTATTTATAGGGTAAGATGACTGACTCACAGTCAGATGCTAAATATGATTTTGAGCTGGATGTTATTTTTTCCAAAACTTAAGCCACAGTGCTCGGAGCTGTGGCTAAGATTGGTACTGGCTCATCTAGTCCTTAGCTGTGGAGCAAGGTGCCTGTTTCTTGATCTGCTAGCCTGGTCCAGAAAGTAACTAGCACTGTGATTGCCACCCATCTGAGAAAAGTTGATGATCTGTCAGGCTGAAAAGAGGAGAGCAAGGGATGTCTTGCACTGCACACTCCTGTGTCTCCTATTTACTAAATTTAGTTTACTGAATTTCTAAAAGTACAAATATTGAGACCTGGCTTATCAGTTGTTTTTTCTTGCTTCATTCCAATTGCATCTTTTTCTTTCTTGCAAAATGGTTTCGTTTTCTCCAAATGTATGAAGGCAGGGTCATGGTGAAGAGGAAATGGCTTTATAATTAGCATATGTTTCTTATGTTTTTGTTATTAATACTTTTAAAGTGTATCATCACACAATTATACACAGAAGAAAATATTCATGCAAACAATTGTCTGGGTTCTGAAATCTCAGGATAGGAGATGAAAATCAATCAGATAATGGAGACTTCTGAATCCGTTCCGCAGATGTTAGTGTCTGAAGGCGGTGTGTCAGCCAGCTTCTTCATTAAACAGCAGGGTTTGCAGTCAGATCTCTTTAGCAGTGACGCCCCTCCATCTTGTAACCAAAAGCTCTCCTCTTAAGATGTTTGAAGTTAAAAGCCCCTGCTGAGCCAGTTGAACATAGCTGAAATTAATTCGAGGTGACAGTGATTACAATTAGAATTCCTACCTCTTCCGTATCGATGAAGTTTTATAAGTATGTGATGCTATTTGAAACACACACATACTGCTGTTTGACAAACACTGAGTCATGAAAAGATTTGGGTAGGTGCTTGGCTGTGGCAGACAGGGAGCTCTCCATGTTGTTTGGTGGGGCGAGTTGGAAGGACATCATTTGGTGCTCCAGAAGCATGTGCAGATTTTGAAGGAGGCTTGGAATAAATTTATACTCCAGTAATGTTGCAAGTACATGCAACTTAGCATTAATTAGGATTAAATATCTTGGTCTGTAAGAATAAGGAATGCATCTGCCCAGGGTATTCTGTGGACTGTGTTAAAAGACAAGTGACTGAGTTGGCTTTTTTCTTATGACAGAATGGCAAGTTCTGACTTTTCTTGCCCGTCTTCCATTCTGTTCAACTTCAGCAAATTCTTACAAGGTTAATGTACAATAGTTGGAAAAAGACTGCTTTACTCCCTTCCCCTCCCTTGTTAAGCATAAGCTGGGTTTCAGGGCAAGTTCTCATGGTTGTATTCACCCATATGCTGTTTAAAACTGATTGACTTTACCAGTTTCAACACTAGAGTGGAAAGGATTGATTAAGGGGGTTTCTGATGTGCTTCAGGACTTAGGGCATTGGTACACTAGAAAGTTGCTTCTGTTAGAAGAGCTGAGATGTCTGTGTGGTTGAGAAGAACTGTCAGGGATGTCTACCTTTGTCTCTGAAGCAATATAAATAGTCACCTGGGAAGCAGGCTGTATTTCATATTCCTCTAATCAGTCCAGAGACTATCCTGAATAGAAGTGAAGCTGATATCAGAGCTCTTTGTGCAGGAACATGTTTTGGGGGAGCAGTCCTTTCCGAGCAGTCAGTACCAGGACCTTGATGGAACCTGCAGTATTCTTATTTATCTGGACCTGACAGCCCATTTAAAAATTATGTACTTACTGGCAAACTCAAAATCCAGCTCGTGGTTGAATTTGATTTGAAGTTAAATTCGAAACTTAAAACATGGATATCAGCCAGTTTTTAATGTACAGTTCTGAAAAATGATGGAATTGTGCCTTCAGTGGATATTTTTACTTTAGAAGAAAAGATGTGTATTCTCCTTGCATTTCTCAGATTGCTAGATTAATTGCTGAGAGTGCTTGTTTCCCTGTTGGCGTGCAGTTCTGGAGGGAAATTGTTTAGGTGATGGACCTTCATGTCGTGCCTGAACTAAGTGCTCTCCTGTTCAGGGAGAACTGATCCCAATGTGAGATGTTCTAGAATTGTGTATATGACAGGTACCCCTCATCCACAGCTTCTCCTTTAGTATAATATAACTGTTAAACACTGGTTATATTCCTCTGACACCTAAAAGGGATGCCACCTACTGTCTTAAAGTAAAATATATTTAAAACATGAATTTGCGAGCTGTTGGCTATTTGTGTGGGTAGCAAAATTGAACCTATTGTCTACTGCCTTTTTCTAAAAGACCGTCCTGTGTATTGCTTTATGGAATAAATGTAAGTAGGCTTATTAGAATTGCCAGTAGTCTGGAATTTTGGCTTCACTGAGATACTCAGCTTGAAGGTGAAAATAAGCTATGTCATAGAAGACATGAAACACTTTCTATGGCTTCTCTTTTGGAAGATGTTTCTAGGAAGTACTTTTTCACTGACTCCTAAATAGAGCAAATACCACTGTGTGTGTACAGTGATGGCTTTTGATTACCCGTTTGCTTGTATGGTAGCTTGTTGTTCTGTCCTGAAAACATAATTCCCAAGTGTGGAAAGCTTAGAGGTGCAAACAGCACTGCAAGTATCACTTCCTTTCATGTAGCGATAGGTGAACTCAGCACATGCTTTGTTAGGTAGATTTCCTCTGTGAATTTTCCTTCACCTCACTTTAGGGAAAACTCCTTCAGAAAGACAATTTAAATAATAAGATGATCTGAATGGCAGTATCTTTCAGTAAGTCGTAAATGACTTTTGCACAGACAGAATTCTTTCTCTTAAAAGGGGGAAAAAAAAACAGTGGTCAGTCCTTCAACTGGTACAAAGCTGTGTCAGGAGGTGGATTTTAATGTGATTAATGCTAGCAGAAGGACACAAATCTCAGAGTTCGGCTTTCCTTCTTGTGGGTGCCAAGGTGATTGAATGATGCATGTGGTGTGAGTGGGTTGGAGCTCCCAAAGGACAGAGCTTGTATCAGTAACACGATGCTTGTTTCTGACACAAGGTGAGATGGGGCTGCGGAACTTCCCTCAGTCCTTATCTCAGCTCTCCATATGGCAGAGCTTCCCCATGCAAGGGCTAACAGGTGGTTTTCTTAAATGCAGGTGACATGTGGTGCAGTCACATACACAGATATTAATTGGAAATGGGAATGAAAATAGCTTGTCCTAGCTACAGGCCTAACCTTCTGTGTAAGATAACATCGATTATCTAACTGCCTTCTACCTGCTTTTTAAAAATCAGATTTAGTAAGGTTTTTTTTCCTCTTTCGAGTTCTTTACTTGACTGTTAGTGTTTACATGGGTAATTATCACCTGTCAAGGGAATATAGATTTAAGAAATATTTTATCTAAAGTTTAAATCCATGGGTTTTCTTCCCGCTCCTTCATAGCTTTGCATATATTTAAAGAAATAATTATCAGACTTAACATGTAACATTTCCAAAAGGAAGTTGGAAGTAAGTTTCAGTGATTTTTCTGGCCACATGCAGAGAAGTCCTACTTTTGCCATCAATTTTTCATGGTTCACTGCCTTGTTGTACAAAACTGCAATTAGAGCAGTGAGCTGTTGGTTCAGTGTTGGAAATACAGCAAGGAGAGACTTGAAGGCATGTGCAGCAGCCTTGTTTGTGTCCTCTGAGATAGTATGTCATTAAGCATTTGGCATTATACTGTGCAGTTTCACTGATGCTGTGAACCACTATCTAGAACCATTAATTAGATACACAGTAGGATTCATTTTAAAAGAATTGTCCTCCAACTTTGCTGCTCAAGATCTGTACCATTACAAACCTATGACAGTGCTTTTGAAAGTGTTTCATAAGAAATAATAAAACACTGGATAGAAAAGTACTTGTTTGATTTCTGAATTAGTGCAGCAGGAAAAAAATATCTTGATTGTTCCTCTCTAACACTGACGTTTCTTA